CTAAGAAATCAAGTTGTCTTACGGTTGAAAATGTCTCCAAACTAAACATTACTGCAGACATGGTCGTCCTTAGCGCTTGCCACACTGCCCGTGGAAAGGTCAGCATCGAAGGAGTCCTTGGATTGGCAAGAGCATTTCTGATGGCTGGTGCAAAGTCTGTGGTTACAGCTCTGTGGGCCATTCCTGACAGTGCAACTATGATGTTCATGGAGAAATTTTTCAGAAATCTTCGTGAAATGCGTGTTGGCGATGCCTTGTCTACAACTATGTGTCAGATGCAAGACGAAGAATGTTTCAAACATGTCATCCAATGGGGCTCGTTCAAGGTCCTTGGCGCAAATGTGAAAGTATCACTTCCCAAGTAGAAAAATGAACTTTATCCTTGCACAGTCGCAACACAGACGGTCAATGGGAGATCGAAGTTGCCATGGACGATGGCAAAGCATCAAGTAGGACACTGTAGATAGCCAGGTATTTTAAAAGTTAACTGTGAAAGTATCACTTCCCAAGTAGAAAAATGAACTTTCACAGAACACAGAGGGTCAATATAGGTGATTGAAGTTACCATGGACCATGTCCATAGCGATGGAAAAGCAACAAGTAGGACACTGTCGAAAGCCAGGTATTTTGAAAGGTTAACTGGCCGATTTTGTTATTACGTGGTCGTACCCTGATCTAAACCTAATTATTTTAAAGTAAATATTTGTTCACTTCATCATTTCAAAGATGACTTTTGAACGAAGTTATAATTAATGTTAAGAGGGCACATAATCCATCACCGTTTTTTCAACGTATATTCTCAATCCAGATTATAAGTTAGCCATATGGACGTTAGCCAAGTGTCCAGCTAATGGGGGTCCCCAGATAAGGATAAAGTAAAATATACATGCAAACCACAGTGCATTATCATCCCAGCCGGAATGCAGGAATTGTTATTCAAGGGACTCTTGATTTCAAAATTTCTCCCTCCATATGTAATCAATATCAATAACCTCCAGAATCATGTTTCGCTCGCTACTCTGGTTTAAATAAATGATTACAAAGCCCAGTCGAATTGTAATCAAGACCCAACGTTTCGACACTCCAGTCTAGTGTCTTCATCAGGGGTGATCTAA